TTTGAAAAAACGTATCCTCATATGAAGATAGGTTGATTCTAAAATTGTTTTCTCTTGTTAATAAAAAAAAGGAGTTAGAGGGGATCTGATTGAGGTATTTCAGATTGTTAAGGGAACTGACAGTGTTGATATATCATTTCTTTTCATAGTTAATGGTGAGAACAATAAGTTTAGGGGATGCAAATATGAATTTTACAAGATTAGAAAACAATTTTAAATAAAACTACTCTATTTTTATAACAGGGTGGTTGGCCTTTAGAATGGGCTACCTTCAGATGTGGTAGCTTAAGGGAAGGCTTGATAAACATTTGAATGAGTGTTTTATTCTAATTTAGTATCATGGATGGGACAGCCTAGATGGACCAACAGGTCTCTTTTTGTCTTAAATTATATATATATATATATATATGTATTATTGACATCAGTTTATTTTCAAATTAAATTTTTTGGTATACTACGGTGTACTAAATATTGCATATACATAAGAAACTGTTATATGAAGCCTTTAATAAAACCAGATTGTCACAAACCATAAATTAATTCCACATATTCATACTTTCACAACTGTTTTTCGTCTTTTTTCTTTTCTTTTTTAATGTAACACTAGTTTTATTATACAAATTTAAAAAAAAAAGATATAGAGATTAGCATAAAATGCTTTTATGTGATTAATTAAAACTGTAGGTTGTTCAAATATACAATATTATGTAAACTTCAAAAGAAAGTACAGTTACTCGTAAGCTTCCTTCATGGACCCTGTATAAAATTGAGTTGAAGAAATTAATTTCATGCAAGTCAAAGTCCCGGCAATTATTATTGTTAAACATGGAATTAAAGTGCATGCAGCAGTAGTAGTGTTCTTCAAGATCAATATTTGAACTACACTACAAATATTATAATATTTGTAAAGACATGCAACTTTTAATATTTCGATTTATAATATGTTAAAATAATAAACTACTATCTCTTCGTATTAATCCATTTAAACTTTTAAGAATCTAGAAGTGAACACATTTAAAAGTTCACTTACTGCTTCAACACATACAGCTTTACACTGAGCTCCATTAAAGTCATCAGTACATCTAGCAAGTTCTTCATAATTCACATCCGGACTGTAAGAAGTATGAAAAGCAAAAATGAGAAATATTTATTTTATGTGTTACAAAGTTTCATCACCCATTTCACTGTTAAATGATATGTTATTTAACCCTTTCCAACCCAATATCCTGTTTTTCCCAAGGGTGTAATTTATAAACAAAATTTTAATCCCTTTAAAGTACCAACAAATTAAAACTATATAATGAAGTGTTTTATATATAGAAGTTTATACATGTTTGTTGTTCATTTCTAATACAAACAATTTAAAAACAGTGAATATTTGAGAAGTTTATGGTTTCAACTGAAATCGTTTTACAACTTACATGCTTCTAAAGTTAACAAATCATAATATATTGTTTGAAAGCTAAGATTATTTTCTTTCCCACAATCTATTTCTTGTAAATCTCTTCCTTATATGGATTTTAGTTTTCCAAATTTTTAGTTATGATATCACCATTCTTTTTTGATCACATGCCTTCAAATCATTCAACTATAACGTTTTTAGCACTACATTTCAAGTTTTAGTATGCCAAAAATTATTCATCTAAAAATGAGTTTGTAAGTCTTTATATGAGCTGTCATCATCAAAAAGTGTCATGAACTCAACAGATTTTCCACACTTACAAATTTAAATACAAAAGATTATTAAAAAAAAAACAGGACTCTACACAAACATTTTGTTTAGGAATACTCACTCAACATTCATTTTTCTGGAGTGGATTTGCATGATACGAGCACGAGCTTCTTCGTTTGGTGCAGGAAATTCAATTTTTCGATCCAAACGCCCTGATCGTAAAAGAGCTGGATCCAATATATCTACACGGTTTGTTGCAGCAATAACCTAAATTATAGAAATAATTAAACAGGTAAATTTTCAGTTATATCTATATGGTTTGTTGCAGCAATAACCTAAATTATAGAAATAATTAAACACGTAAATTTTCAGTTATATCTACAGTTTGTTGCACCAATAACCTAAATTATAGAAATAATTAAACAGGTAAATTTTCAGTAATATCTATACGGTTTGTTGCAGCAATAACCTAAATTGTAGAAATAATTAAAAATAAAATAAATTTTCAGTCACACAACAGTTACCAGCTGCTGAAATAAGTAAACAGAAAAAAAAAGACAGGAGTAAAGATCGAATGTTAAAAATAAAGATACCTGACGATACTGAGTCAAAGACAAACTGGTTATAAACAGTATAGCATTAAACAACAAACGAATATACTATACTAAGTTTCATCTACATCCTAATAAGTAATATAAACATCTCTATTTGTTCTCACTTAATATTCACAATTAAAAAAAAAACAAAACAAATAATTTATAAGTACTTTTATATCGGTAGTAGAACTGAAACCATCCAGCTGATTAAGCAATTCCAACATTGTTCTTTGAACTTCTCGATCTCCAGCTTTCTCACTGTCAAATCTCTTAGTTCCTAAGAATAATCCAAAACATATCTAAACTTGTACAAAATTTATATCTATCAATATTATGTGGTCAAAACAAGTGAAAGGCTGCATGGTAGTAAAAAAATAATATAGTTATCATTTCCACTCATGTTTCACATTGCAATATCTAAACAGTAACAAAACTATAAAATATGTTCCACATAACAACTTTACAAGTTACATAAACAATAATTCAAGACAGCAAAATATTAATAAATTAAGTCAATACCTAAAATTTGTTTCCTGGAGACTTTTTCAATGAAGCTTGAATTTCACAAATATAATTCACGCTTTTATATTAGAATTAAAACAATAATGTTGTATTCTGAACAATCCTACATATACTAAACTATATTTAAAAAATTCGTTTCAGAAAAGACACACTGGTTTGTGAACAAAATTGTGCTACTCTTAGTAACTACAAAAACAAAGTGTCGGCTAAAATGCACTACATTAAAACAATTGCAATTTCTTAATAATACTGCAAACGTGATTGTACCATATTTTGATTTTGTTCAAAGTAATCCATATATACCCCAAGAATCATCTAAGCTTTCTCAATGAAAACCCAAACATACCTATGGCATCCAATTCATCTATAAAAATAATAGCTGGAGCTTTCTCTTTGGCTAAGGCAAACGCATCCCTTACAAGTTTTGCTCCATCACCAATGAACATCTGCACCAACTGTGGGCCCGCTAACTTGAGAAAAGTTGATTTAGTTTGAGCAGCACATGCTCTTGCCATTAAGGTCTTCCCTGTTCCAGGAGGTCCATACAAAAGAACACCTAAAATGTTTTAGAGCATTAATTAAATGGACATCTATGAAGAAACTACATTCAATTATTGATCAACATTATTCACATAAATTATTCATTAAATATTAACCATGGAGGAAAAAAAAAACCTACAGCTATTAGAACCTTGCATATCACTAGTTTTAACATTCTCTACATTGGCGCGATCATTTTGACTGATCTTGTAACCACCACATAACCATTAAACTGGATGTATTATAAGTTTCATTGTAGTAAGTGTATCTTCACAAAATTTGGAAAGCTTTTAGTAAATATTACAAGTCTCTTGTATATAAACAAATCTGGTTTCTTAATTAATTTTAATACTACAGATTTATCTGTTAATTTATGGAGTCTGATTTGGACTCTGATTAGTCTGAATACAAGGTGATTTTCATGTCAGTGTTCTTTGAATTGGGCCTAACTAATAATCCCATGATACAAGCTGTAACTCACACAGCGAACATGTCTTTGTTTTGAAATTAAGCACAAAGCTACACAATGGGCTATCTGTGCTCTGACCACCATGGATATCGAAACCCGGTATCTAACGTTGTAAGTCCACAGACATATCGCTGTACCACTGGGGGGCCAGCAAACATGTAGGTCAAGTTATAATACTGAATGATGTAATGCACAAGCCACTTGCAAGCATACTGTGTAGTAATGTTTTAATTATTTTTTCATTACATAACCTAATAAGTTTTTAATTTTAGTTATTTTTATAACAATAAATATACATTAAAACAATAAATTTAGTACTTACATTTGTCCTCGTTTTTCACTCTCAGCTAATAGATGATACTTAATGCTAGTTCCTTATAATGATATCAGTAATAATGGCATGCACAAAGCAAACAATGTTCTATACCTATTGTAATTTAATTGGTTTTCTCACTAAGGCATATGTGCTTTAAAATAATTCCCTTAGTTTTTCTATCTGAACTCGGCAATACCAACTTTCAATGTGTAGGTGAAACAACCAAGTCTCTTAGGTAGTATTATACATCATTCAGTAAATCAAAACCTTTTCATTCTAAATGATGTAAAAGCAAACACTGGAGAGAATTACTGGCAAATTGTGAAAGAAAGGATACGACAGTAAAGCTTGAGAAGTGAGTTTAATTTTTTGGTGTATATTTCGGTTAACAAAGAAGACGGGTGGCTATAAAAATGAGACTATACCTTATTGGTATCTATACTATAATGAGCAATTTCAGTTAAACTCAGGGTATCATAGAGACGTAATAAAAAAAAATTAAAATGGGCTAGTCAGAGCAAACAAATTTTACATTACAGAGACAAGAGGAGATTGAGAATTTGTTTAGATATTTCCTTTTGAAATTAAGAAATTAAATTTCATATAATTTTAAAACTCAAATTATTACATATATTTTAATGACAAATTTATTCACTTACATTGATAATAGAATAGTTTAATTAAAGTTTGAATGTAATTCTGTAAAAAAGTTGCAACGTGCTCACTTTTACCTACCTGTGAGAGGGTTAAATGAATTATTTTTCTAGTAAACCAAGACATGAGGCGAAATAAAGAAATATAAAATTAATAACATTTTACATATAAAATACTGTAGTACATTACAGATGTTCTCACACACACAGTTGTGCCCCAGAACCTGATCAACATAACACACAGTAAAAGTTCTGAAAAACTTACCTTTGGGAGGTTGAATTCCTAGGTTTTCAAACTTCTCTTTATGGGTCATTGGTAGCACAACTGCTTCAATTAACTGTAGGAGACAGCAAATACTATAAACCAAATTATATATTTTTTTAAACATATATAAAGATGCAATTAACCAAGTGGATGTTTACATTATAAGGTAATAGACAACAGTCTTCTCATGAAAATTTATATACTCTAAAACAGTAATTACTTAATAGGTAACTTGTGACATTTATACAAAGGTTGAGTATGTTATATTAAAACAGTTTTGGAGCCTTACCATAGTATTGCAATCCATGTCCAGTCTTTTGCTATCTGACAGAAATGAATCTTGACAATAGTCCTGCAGTAATTTCTATTGCAAAAGGCTACTTTATAAGGCTGTTATGTCAAAATCACACCAATACTTTCCGATTGCTTTCCATAACCCATATAATGTACTGGGACAACAGTTGCCTAGCACCTGTTTCAACAGTCTAATCACATAGAAATCCATAGGTGGCTTGACCAGAATATCTTCGCATGGAATAGCATGAATACCTGTTTCATTCTACAGCTGCTTAAGATATATGATGGTTGAACAGATACATTGTGGAACAACTTGTGTTACTTTTACAGACAGATTCTTCTTGATCATGTTTCATACCGTTTCCTAGGGCATGTTGACAGCTTTTGCTATTGCCATTGTATTTGTGGATTCTCACCTGTTACACAATCTTGCACTTTGCATACTATGGGTTGGATACAAATTGTTGCAGGTCTCTTTTTGGATGGTCCTGTTGCTCTAAGGTGATCCACATTCTTTTCTTTTTCAGCGTCATTAAGTATAAGGTATATCCCATCCTGGAAATTCTAAAATCTCCAATCTGAACACTTATTTATAAATTGAGTGTATGACTATTTAGCTTTTGTACACCCTTCCAAAAGTAATAAATTTTTGGTGCTAAAATATTACCTAGGAAATGCCAAACAATGTAAAATGTAGTTCTGATACATTCCATTCCACCACAACTTTATATTAGCTGTGGTTATCATGTGATTTGCTGATCTGTATTTCCCAAAATTGTTTTTAAATGTAACATACTCAATACTCTTTACTTTTACATAAGACTGCTTAGTCCAGCTTTTTTTATGTTCTGTCACTTGTGATAGCATGTATGTGTTACAAACATATATAATGAAAACAGCACTGAAATCAATGAAATCAGATATTCATTGTCATCCAAATCCTCAAACATAACATTGTCTAGAATACTTTACAACTTTGTTCTTAAGTTGTGTCAGATGTTGGTTTCTGACAAATAATATAATTATGCTCTATTTCTAAGCATTAATATTTTTATTTATAAGTGTTTTTTAGAAAAATAAGTATTAGATGTGCTTCTGCAGGTTCTCCTGAAAGTTTTCTGTTTCAAGCATAGTTAAAATCAAAATTAAGTGTAACAACTATTTTCATTTCTTGCTTTTGAAGTTTATATGTCATATTGTAGCCTACAGAGTACATAATTCTTCTCGTGATTCATGGTAGGTGCACATTTTAACTAAGTCACAACAAATTGCAACATAAAGCATCCCTTATATGACAATATTTTAGTGTTTACTGACTGACAGACAACACACTACTGTATTGTAGTGCGAGTGGTTAAAACCAGTGAACCCTCCAGGTGGCCTTCAGCCCCCTTTCGAGGTCATCAGTTTTTAAAAAATACCAATAATTAATAAATACTGAAAACACTCAAATTCATTAAAACCTACAAATGATTTAAATAACCTAAAAAATAATTACTATTGCACTTATTGGATAGCTTATTAAGATCCATAATTAGTATGTAGTTATACAAAGTTTCACTACAATAAGAAACTCAACTCAGCTTTACAATGACTCTACAAAGTGCCAGAAGATGTCTCATTCAGTTTTATTTCAATTATTAAGGAGTATGATAAATACCATAGGTACCAGAACAGAAGAAAAATGATAAATTAAACATCTGAGTTCATCCAGTAATTGTGTTGGCCAAAAAAGACAACTGAAGTCACTGTCACACTTTTCATACCAAATTCAGATAATTTGAGTAAATTGGATTGTTGCATCAGACTTGGAAAAACCACTGTTCAACAGGGTAGAAATACAGCATTCATGGAACAGAAATAATAGGCAACAATCTTCAGTTACTCTCTAGATATCATTTGCCTTTCTAAAGAAATAATGCAACTTCTACCATGAGAACATTCCCAACAGTTTTCACTGTTGAGATAATTTAAGTAGAGTCAAGTGGCTCATGTGCTTTATCCATATTTTTTTTTCCCTAGCAGTAAAAAACAAAAGAGGGGGAAGCATGACTTGTATAACTGCATCACATGCTTCCAGTCTTTCCTTATTCAAAGTTTCTGTTCTTTAGGATCACTGGAACTGTGATTTCCTGTTTGCATCAGAGTTAAATGTGCTTCACTAATTGTTGGCTGCCATATATCATTAGTCTTATAATGTCCTTCACATAGATACAATTACATACTGACGGTGATAACTGTTGAAATAATTGGTCAGTTAGTGGACAATGTGGTGTATCTTGCACTTCACAATAGGTAGCTTTGACCTTTTTTAGTGGAATGGATAATATTTTACTACCATTGTGTTATTAAAGTTCTTAGTGATACAATAAATAGCTTTTGATTATAACGAATTCTTGAAACTATTGGTATTTGGTGAAACTATGTAATTAAAGAATTGAAAAATTAGTGAAATTAACAATTTTCTTTTGTGTTCCTCAATTCTGTAGCTGTTGATTACTATTTCTGATGAACAGCTAGATTTGGAATACCTCTACTGCTTAAAGCATTGGTTTTAACACCTGCAATACTTAAGTAAATAATGCACCACTTCAACGACTGAACACTCTGCCAGTGAGAAACATTCTACCAAGACTGTCTTCAGCTTAAACACAGAATATCACTCTGTAACAAAGAGTCTTCATAGTCTTTGGTACAGGTTGCTTTAATCTTAAAAATATGTCAACATATGACAGTGTAGATTTATACCTCTTGTATCTGTTTATCCAGTCCTCCAATGTCACTGTACTGCTCAGTTGGCCGATCATCCACTTCCATAGCTTTTACCCTAGAGTCATACCTGAAAACAACATACAGAATGAACTGTTATATACCACATTAAAAAAACTTTATCTATTCCATTCTATCTACAATGGTTTATTATTTTTAATTTGAATAATGAAGGTAATCTACCAAGCTTTTACCCTAGAGTCATACCTGAAAACAACATACAGAATGAACTGTTATATACCACATTAAAAAAACTTAATCTATTCCATTCTATCTACAATGGTTTATTATTTTTAATTTTTTTTTAATTTGAATAATGAAGGTAATCTACCAACCAACTTCTTTTCAAGATACAGAAGTAAACTCACACAACACTTCCCACAGAGCTAATTCTTAAAAACAGTTATAACAGGACTTGTAACAAGCTTAAATAAGTTTCCCGACAAAATAAAAAAAACTGGATCCCTGTAAAAATTTTATTTATTTCTGTTTATGTCAGTTCTTTTCTTGTCCTTCTAATACTTTCTGCATTGTTGTAATATCAGAAATTATTAAGCTGATATTTTGATTCTGAATCAGGTAAACTAGGTTCAAAGAAATAATCAACATAAGAAATATGAAGTGTGACAACTGCAACTTGAAATATTGATATTTAATCATACTACAATTTTTTAAAAGCATAAACACCTTAGTTAGTAAATGCTAGTGCTCCTCCTCCCTAGAAAATTTTCAAATGTAAAATTCCATGATATTTAAAAAACACACAGTGATGTCAAATCTATGAATTACCTCATGCATTGTATAAACTCATGATAATGACTTCTGGTGTTTATGTTTAATCCAAGAAAATGGATAACAGTTTTAGAGTTCAGTTTACAAAATCAATAAAAATAATGACTGCAAAAAGTATGGGAAATGAATGAATTATCAGGAGAAACTCATAATTATGCCAGGAGAGTTGACAGGTATGTTTAACAGATTTTTTAATTTGGTAGAAAATGATACTTATAGGTTCTTTAAAATTTTCACATAAATTAAGATTTTTGTTTTTACCTTTATTGTTGAACTGTTTGATTTAACATTTAAGGTGATTCTTGGACCATAATCTACAATTTTTTTATAGTAAAACGTGAAACAAATGTAAAATTTTGAAAGACATTATACAACACAAAATATATTTAAAAGATTCATAAAAAAATCAATCAAAACTATTTTCTATATTATAAAAAATTCCTTATTCGTGAATATACACACACACAGTGAATCAATCAAATAATTTTTCTTAAAAGACTCAAGAAAAAAAAGAAGTGATTTACGTGTTATACTTATTTTCTTTACTACAATGTTAGCTATACGACCTTCGTTTCAGTTAACAGCGAATTGAATAATCAATGCTTAGTATGTACTTCTCTAGCCTTAACTATATGACTGCAATGAGCAGGCTTAAATACTTTAGTTTTTGAGAATAATCAGTACTAGTAGAAATGTCACCCCATGGATGGCTGTTTGTGTTAGTAATTACTAATCCTAGTATTCATACCTCATTGAAAAAAAATTAGAAAAATGAAAACTTTCTAAAAAAGGACTTTTCTGGGAAGTACTGCATGGGAAAAGTATTTGAGTTGTGCTGATATAAACTGTAATATTTTATATAAAAAAGTGGTACCTTTTATTGAAAAAATAATAGTTTGTTTTTAAGAACTCCACTCTTATTACTATATTTACAAATTACATCAATAAAGACATAATAAAACCTTCACATATAGTCCTAGTGAAAGTCATGTTCTGGTTGTGAGGAGAGTAACTTTATATAAAATTATGTTCTGTGATAAAGAAATGGTTGCTGCACACATTGTAGTTATTTTTCTAGTTGTCCGACTCTTGAATGCCCAAAATATGAATTTTTTTTATCGATTTTTGCATGTGGTGCTATTCAATAGATGGCGCCACATTGTATTTATTATTTCGGATACGTACATAGATAGATACATATATACACACTACATCCATTATAGTAAGAAGATTAACTATGTATTTTGAAACTAATCAACATTCAGTATCACTATCATATCATATGTCCTTCAAAAGTTGACACAGATTAGCTGGCTTTTCTTTTGCAACATCATATTTTCAATGATGACATTTGGACTGCACTGAGACATTGAGCAAGTCATTCTATAACTTTTATACCACTAGATCTTTACTTTTTTCCCCATATACCTTTTATGCAGCAAGGTATGTTTTGCAGAAAATCAGAGCCAATTAAACACCGTCCAATATATACTGCATAACAAACCACGATGCTGTAATACTTTTTCCTTCTTCATAGTATCAACAGGTTTAACACTTTCTCCCACGTTTGCAGCAAAAGAACATTCATACACAATCCTATACATCTACTACCAAGTTTACTGCTTTATTTACACATACTCTTGCTTAAAACTTCCCATGATCATCTCCATCACAAAAACTTTTGTAGCTTTCAAAATGCTCAATCTTTGTTCTTTCACTCCACAAACTGTTCCATTTTTTTGTTATTCTCTGTATAGTTTAAATACTTTGCCACATGAGAAGTACCAGGCTTTGTGGCTCCAACTTTACCACATAAAACCACTTTCTTGTAACTGCTTTTCAACATTTTTATTACTGATTCTAATTATATGCATATCCTATATTTCTCTACATACTTCAGGAAGTATTTTGAATTGTCTTATTTTTAAATTCTTCAAATGCCACTATTCTCCCATTTTTAACTCTTATGTCAATGGGTCAGTCAATCTGACCGACCTTGTAAACCATGAAGCTTTACATACTAGAACTCTAAATTCACTAACTATATTTACACAAAATTTGTTAAGCTTTCAGTAAACCTTACAAATCTGGTGCACAAAAAATAAGAATTCTTTTACAAAGTATTTAATTTGTTTGTGAATTTTTGAAGCCTTTACTAAGTCAATCTGAGTGAAAGGTGATTTTTATGCTAAGAATAAAAATACTTCTTTCATGGTAATTTGTATAACCTCTAAAATCTCCTAAATGAATATCAAGTGTTTTCAGTAAAACTTTATATTTTATCTGTTATTTTCTTTACCCTAACACTAATTGTAGTTAAGTCATCAATGGAAATTGAAAAGTACGAATTAAAATGAACAATAGCTTTCTTCCTCTTCTTCTACTTTGAATGCATAATTTGTTGCCACATCTTCAATTAAAGAAATTTACAATTTCAACTGTTAACCTTTTCACATCTTTTTTTTTTCTTTTCATTTTATGGTTTGTTTAGCTTGCACAACATAAGCAGTTTATTCATCCATGAGCAGATTCTCATACATCACACAGTATAATCATGGCCAAATACTTTTGTTTTTTTAAATTGGTAGCAAATCGAAATTTTCAACTAAGGTTAAAACTAAAGAAAAACTTGAGATTGAAAAAGAATCTTGGCACCTACACTTTTGAGGGTGACGAATTGTTAGTATATATTTTAAGTTGGTTGTTGTAAAATTCAAAAACAGTGCAGGGTGGAGATTGCAATCTATGAATGCCTTTCCAGACTTTATTGTAATCACTAAACTATAAATAAACTAAAACAATAAGAGATGCACTGTTAATGCTTTGTCGACAGCAGCTCCCATCCACGGAAGTTTTTACGGCAAAGTTTTTGTTGTTGTTGGACTCAAGACCTCTAACTAATGCTGTATACTTCCACATGCTTTTAATTTTAAATAAACTTGATTAATGAACAATAAAGTATGTGCAATATATATAATTAACTTTAAATTTCCAACTGTCATAGTGCCATGTTCACATTTCTTACACATGAAAAAACAATATTATAATGTAACTCATGAGAACTTACTCTTGAGGTAGAGTCTCTAAAATCAAGTATGAATCTTTATTGACACCCTAGAGAAAAGAGAATACCTTTAATAATTATGAATATCTGATCAAAAATGTTTGTTTGTTGTTAAGCACAAAGCTACACAATGAGCTATCTGTGCTGTGCCCACCACCAGTATCGAAACCCAGTTTTTAGCATTATAAGCCTTTGACTAACCACTGAGCCATTACGGGTACTGATAAAAAATATGTTCTTTCCAATTAATATTTTAACACATTTATCACAAATTTAAGGACTTCACTAAACCTCAAGACAAAAGTAAAGATGTATACTAGAGACTAGTAAAAGACTTCACAAACATAATAATTACTATACATGTGCATTATGAAACCCAATAAAAAGTAATCTACAACATACATTTCTGCTTATGAATAGGTCTCTGTTACATGTTACTATATTAGTCCATATAATCCATAGAGTAACTCGCTACATATTGATTTTGTTACTTGATCTTACACAGAATAATTTCTGTTCCACAATTCTTTCACAAACATGATACAAATCTGTAACTTTAACCCCTTCACTGTGACAACAGCATTTATTCCCTGTGCGTAACATTTTTTGATAATTTTGTTATAACAATTGTGGATTGTGCTACATAGTTTCAAAGCCACTAAAACAGGTTGTATCATTTCATGGTAGAGTTCTTTGTTTTGTGAAACTATACTCATACATCTCTTTGTAGGACTCAACAATTATTTGTACAATGTTTTTAGGCCTACTGCTCTCACAGTTACCAATTTATTAACCTTGACAGATGTACATGTAATTTATAAACATCTAGTTTTAAGAACTTATTTGGGATAAATTTTGGGCTTGTCCAATATTTGATTTTTCTGGGATGCTAGAGCAATGGAAACGTTATGTACAAATGAAAGCATAGTTTATCCTGTTTTTTTCTTTAAAGCTTATCATTGCTAAACAGCAATATATAGTTGCAAAAGTTACTTTGTTTGTTTTGAATTTCGCGCAAAGCTACACGAGGGCTATCTGTGCTTGCCGTCCCTAATTTAGCAGTGTAAGACTAGATGGAAGGCAGCTAGTCGTCACCACCCA